TACCTTTGAAATTGATTTGTAAATCCATTATATGTATCATGTTAAGCGCATAGAGCATTGCATAAGTGGATATGCGCTATATAAATGCAATCCATTATTATTATTATTATACTAATTAAAAACTAAAATGGTTGGTTTTTAAAGTAGTTTACAGCTGGGGCATTAGCGCTTTTAAAAGCAAGTTTGTCATTTTTTCTCTAATTTTGACATGATTTTATTCGACGCAATAAAGATTAATTTATTGTAATACGTTTTGCCACTAAAAGGTGTCATTGCTGAACTGTGACGTAGGCCATGCGTATGCAAAATGTGTGTGAGAAGCGGGAAGTGCTGTGAACGATTCATTTTTCTGCGTGACGGTGATTTATAGTATTTTATATAAATTTGTGAAGAAAAGTTTTTTAATCTAGCCTCAATTGTTGTAGAAAAATATGGTTAAGACAAATTAATACAAACTGCTGTGCAAAGTATGGGTGACATTGATTCACCAGTTAAACTAGTATTTGAGGATAAGTTGCACCACGATTTTTTTACCGATCTATAAGCGTCTATGTGCAGTATTGTATAGTAACTATATGGGCTTAGCGCCCTTATCAACACTTTTAGATTATTTAAGATTCTGTCTGTCCTAATTTAACACCCATCTTCTATAGGACCAAGCCATATGGGTTGAGAGCCTTAAAACTCCACAAAACGACCAGACTTTAAAAAACAACCAGTCTGGGATCGAACTAGGGCCGCAGACTCGGTAGTTCAGTTTGCTAACAACTTAGTTTAGTTTTGAAAGAGTGTTTCAGTGCCCGCAACCGCATACGGTCATATGAGTACGTCAAACACAAACTGGTTGCATTCACAACAGTTCACAGCAATGATTCCATTTACAGTGTAAAAAATCTGTGGTAAAATATTCAATCTAAAATGACAATTTACTTTAGATTAAACCAACAGTATTTACAATTTATTGTAGAGGCCAATAGCCTTTTGATAACAACGGAGCTAATGGCGCACTCCGTCTGTGTACGAGAACAGTGATTTTCAGAAAAGTGGGGAAAAGACAGGTGGGTGATGGAAAAAGACAAGTGTAGTGAAGGGTGTTTCCTTTGCTGTTATTTGCTTTTTAGATCATCCGAAAAGGAAGAGAACGTCATTCGGAAAATATGCTGTCTTTTCTAAACTTGGCTCTTCATTACTACCTCAACATGACAAAGTTTTATTTGATATTTTTGGCTGTTTTGAGTTACTATGACATCAGCGTCAGAATCTTAAATTTAAAATGTTCTAACTGCTCAATCAAAAGCATACGATTATTGGGAGTCGTTATCAACATATTCAAAGAAGAACATTTTAAAAAGCTTGACATGTAATATAACTCATTTTTACGTCAATTTTTTTTTAAATTGGGCACGTAGCAGATAGAATGTTGTAATTCTAGGGGTAGTGACATGTTGATAATGAAGTCATAGGCAGACAATAGGGGACAAACCTGCTGAAAAAACGTTATCCTTTCAGGGAAAGCAACGGTTGCTCGAAAAACATTAGAACCTTCAATGTGTGTGCTGTTAAACTGGCAGCAATGATAAAGAACAAAAATGAATTAGATGTAGAAGAAAATGTATGTGTATGTGTGTATGTATGTGTGTGTGTGTGTGTGTG